CCCCCCCTTCCAGTCCGGACACTTTCCCCCCCTTCCAGTCCGGACGCTTTCCCCCCCCCCCCCTTCCAGTCCGGACGCTTTCACCCCCTTCCAGAGCGGACGCTTTCACCCCCTTCCAGTCCGGACACTTTCCCCCCCCCCCTTCCAGTCCGGACGCTTTCACCCCCTTCCAGAGCGGACGCTTTCACCCCCTTCCAGTCCGGACACTTTCCCCCCCTTCCAGTCCGGACACTTTCCCCCCCTTCCAGTCCGGACACTTTCCCCCCCTTCCAGTCCGGACACTTTCCCCCCCCCTTCCAGTCCGGACACTTTCACCCCCTTCCAGTCCGGACACTTTCCCCCCCTTCCAGTCCGGACACTTTCCCCCCCTTCCAGTCCGGACACTTTCCCCCCCTTCCAGTCCGGACACTTTCCCCCCCTTCCAGTCCGGACACTTTCCCCCCCCCCCTTCCAGTCCGGACACTTTCACCCCCTTCCAGTCCGGACACTTTCACCCCCTTCCAGTCCAGGCCAATTTCCAGCTTTCAGCGCTATCACACTTTGAATGACAATTGCGCGGTCATGCAACACTGTACCCATATGAATTTTTTAGCATTTTTTTTGGAGACAGATAAAGCTTTATTTTGGTGGTATTTATTCACCACTGGGATTTTTATTTTTTTTTTGCTATATAAACGAAAAAGTCCAAAAATTTTGAAAAAAGTGGTTTTTTTTATACAATTTTGCAAATAAATAATATTTTCTTCATAAATCTTGACCAAAATTTATTCAGTTATCTTTTTAGTAAAAAAAAAAAATAACCCAAATTAGTTTATAACAAAAATTATAAATTTTTTTTTAAAACATTTTTACATTTTTATTTTTATTTTATATTATTGTTTATGGTTTTTTTTTTACATACTGTCACCCTAGCAGTACAGGGTCACCATGGTGACACTGTACTACTTGTAGGGGGTGATGAATATTTTTTTTTTTTTTTTTACACCGATTGCTTTTACACCCATAAAGGCTATAAAAGCAATCATTTCTCCTTCTCTCTGGCTGCATTCCTGCAGCCATTGAGAGATACTGTGAGAGCTGTGATTGGTCACAGCTTGTCACATGGTACAAGTCTGTTGTGAGTAGCCCTGTACCATGTGACCTCTGTGATCATTCACAGATTTCACACTTAGTAAGCGATGATGTCAGAAGTGACATCTTGCTTACACCTATTCATGTGATCACTGATTGGCCAATCACATAATCGGGACCTCACACAGAGGTCCCGTACAGCGATCAGTGTTCCTCTGTGTCCAGAGGGGACACAGCGGGCAAAGGATCGCGGTGCTGCGCGCTCCCAGGGAGCACGCACAATCCAAAATGGTGGGCACCGTTTATGAAACAGCAACCCACCCCTGGACTGCCACTGTCTGGCGGTCTATATACAGCGGCCAGATGGGAAGGGGTTAAGCAGGTGGTGGGAAAGCAACCCAACACTGTACTGCACACGGTCGCAGGGCACTTGCAGAGCGGCCTCATTCACTTGAATGGGTTATGCATGGCATAGGAGACATTTTTAGCCAATCCAGAGACTGGGGGTTTAATAGACTTTTCTGCTGAGGAGGAACAACCCAGTGAGCCTCCAGCAGAATTTCTGGCATGGAGGCAGAGAGCTGCTGGCCTCTGCCTACAACAATCGGTGGCCCTGGAGGGTTTGTGAGAGGCCACCAAAAATGTTGTTTTACTTCCCAGTGGAAGAGCTGTCACCAGGTCAGAGCACCACTGTCCTCTGCCCAGCACCAACAGCACTTCCAGAGCTTCAAGGATCCAGGGCAGGCAGCCCCTCTACCCAGACTGAAGGACTGGCAGCTGGACAGAGGGTCCTCAACCTCTGCTCCTCACCTACTGATGACAATTCTTCCCTGTGGCCAAGAATGGAGATCATGTGGATCAACTGTGGGGGTTCACTCTGCCCAACTAACGCATGTGCAGACCAGGTGGAGGTCTGAGACCTGGTTAGTCTACTTTTGAGGGGGGAGAAATGTGACAGACCCAAACGGGGAAGGGGCTTTTGGAGGAGACTGCAGGCTAGCCTCTTGCCTACTGACCATGGGCCCTAGCATCTGAGTGGGCTCTGTTCTTTGGAAGGTGTGTGCCTGGGGGGGGGGGGGGGGGGGGGCTTTTGGTACTTCCAGAGCTTCAGGGAGTCATGGAAGGCAGTCCCTCTACCCAGCAGCAGACCGAGCCCCCAGAACGGTAAAAACCTCCCAGCCGAAGGACTGGCAGCTGGACAGAAGGTCCACAACCTCTGCTCCTCACCTACCGATGACAATTCTTCCCTGTGGCCAAAAATGGAGATCATGTGGATCGACTATGCGGGTTCACTCAACTAATGCATGTGCAGGTGGAGGTCTGAGACCTGGTTAGTCTACTTTTGGGGGGAAGAAATGTGACAGACCCAACCGGGAAAGGGGCTTTTGGAGGAGACTTAGGCTATTGACCATGGGCCCTACCATCTGAGTAGGCTCTGTTCTTTGGGAGGTGTGAGCCTGGGGGGGGTCTTTTGGTACTTCCAGAGCTTCAGGGAGTCATGGCAGGCAGCCCCTCTACCCAGCAGCAGAAAGAGCCCCCGGAACGGTAAAAACCTCCCAGTTGAAGGACTGGCAGCTGGACAGAAGGTCCATAACCTCTGCTCCTCACCTACCGATGACAATTTCTCCCTGTGGCCAAGAATGGAGATCATGTGGATCGACTATGGGGGTTCACTCTGCCCAACTAACGCATGTGCAGACCAGGTGGAGGTCTGAGACCTGGTTAGTCTACTTTTGAAGGGGAAGAAATGTGACAGACCCAAACGGGAAAGGGGCTTTTGGAGGAGACTTAGGCTATTGACCATGGGCCCTAGCATCTGAGTGGGCTCTGTTCTTTGGGAGGTGTGTGCCTGGGGGGGGGGGGGGGGGGGGGGGGGGAGGCCTTATGGGGTGGTTTTACTTCAGAATGATTCAAGTCCATGGTCTCCCGAAACACACAGACTATGAGAACTGGAGGACCAGGATACAGATTTGAGGCCTCTGTGCCCAAATGGGCATTGACTAGACTCAGAGCAGATGTTAATATAAGCAGCTCAAAACAACGTGATGCTGAAGTCTCTTGCTTGTGTGATGTGCTTACTGTTGTGTCTTTGTCCCATTGTTAATTGGGTTCATTGAGTCACCTATTGTTCCTGTCTGTTGGCTAGTCCTTCTGGACGTTCCTACATGATGAGATTAGTCTGGTGTTAACTTGGCCTCTAATCCGTGCGGGATGTTTATACCAATGTGTAATATTTGTTTTTATTGTTCATTTGGGGACTGCCCCTATTTCTGAAAAAACCTATATTTCTGTTCAATAAAGAGTTCCAGTTGCACCTAAGCTAGTGTCGTCTAGTCTTAGGTGCAGTGCCCAAGACCTTGGTCCTGCATCCCAGCGGTGAGGAAGCAGTTCTGTTTGTTGCATTGTGGGTCAGTAGCCAGACCTAGACCTGGTAGCTGTCCCCCACTTTGTCTTTTCCCCTATACTGGCATTGTGTCCACAGTAGTATTTGCGTAGGCAGAGCGGAGTAGGTCTGGCCATAGAAGGATTACTTTGACGCAGTTGGCCAGCATTATGTGTGAACTAAAAATCCATATTTATTGCAAGGTTTGCATGAAAGGGTATATAGCAGAGTGCAGAGGGTCCTTCAGGATTTCTACTGTTGCGTCTTTGTCCCATTGTTAATTGAGTTCATTGAGTCAACTATTGTGCTTGCCTGTTGGCTAGTCCATCTGGAGCTTCCTACAGGATAGGATTAGTCTGGTGTTAACTTGGCCTCTAATCCGTGTGGGATATTTATCCCACTGTGTAACATTTGTTTTTATTGTTCATTTGGGGACTGCCCCTATTTCTGAAGTGCTAAAAAACCTGTATTTCTGTTCAAAAAATAGTTCCGGTTGCACCTAAGCTAGTGTCGTCTAGTCTTGGGTGCAGTGCCCAAGACCTTGGTCCTGCATCCCAGCGGTGAGGAAGCAGTTCTGTTTGTTGCATTGTGGGTCAGTAGCCAGACCTAGACCTGGTAGCTGTCCCCCTCTTTGTCTTTTCCCCTATACTGGCATTGTGTCCACAGTAGCATTTGCGCAGGGAGAGCGGAGTAGGTCTGGCCATAGAGGGATTACTTTGACGCAGTTGGCCAGCATTATGTGTGAACTAAAAATCCACATTTATTGCAAGGTTTGCATGAAAGGGTATATTGCAGAGTGCAGAGGGTCCTCAGAATTTCTACTGTTGTGTCTTTGTCCCATTGTTAATTGAGTTTATTGAGTCACCTATTGTTCCTGTCTGTTGGCTAGTCCATCTGGAGGTTCCTACATGATGGGCTTAGTCTGGTGTTAACTTGGCCTCTAATCAGCATGGGATGTTTATCCCAATGTGTAATATTTGTTTTTATTGTTCATTTGGGGACTGCCCTTATATCTGGGTGTTTAAAAAAACTGTATTTCTGTTCAATAAAGAGTTCCAGTTGCACCTAAGCTAGTGTCGTCTAGTCTTGGGTGCAGTGGATAGCCAAGCATACCTTGGTCCTGCATCCCAGCGGTGAGGAAGCAGTTCTGTTTGTTGCATTGTGGGTCAGTAGCCAGACCTAGACCTGGTAGCTATCTAATTGAATTCATTGTGTCACCTATTGTTTTGTGTCTGTTGGCTAGTCCTTCTGGAGGTTCCTACATGATGGGATTAGTCTGGTGTGAACTTGGCCTCTAATCACCATGGGATGTTTATCCCAATGTGTAATATTTGTTTTTATTGTTCATTTGGGGACTGCCCTTATATCTGAAGTGTTAAAAAAAACTGTATTTCTGTTCAATAAAGAGTTCCACTTGCACCTCAGCTAGTGTCCTCTGGTCTTGGGTGCAGTGGCCAAGACCTTGGTCCTGCAGCCCAGCGGTGAGGAAGCAGTTCTCTGACAGGCGGGGTACCAGGCGGTCTGTTACACACCTGCCTTACAACATCCCCACCAGGGGCGGACTGACCATTTGGAAACTTGGGCACTGCCCAAGGGCCCGGGGTCAGTAGGGGGCCCCATGAGATGCCCCTGGTACCTTTTTCATAAGCTTTTTGGAGTTTGGGCAAGGACACAGGGGCCCCATGATCCCCCTATTGCCCGGTGGCCCCATGAGTTGTCAGTCCGCCCCTGCAGGGGCCCCATGATCCCTTATTGCCCGGGGGCCCCATGAGTTGTCAGTCCACCCCTGATCCCCACCTATTAAACTATAACTTGCATCGATAATATTCAAAATTACAAACGATACATGCGTGGGAGCAGCAGATTGGCCCAGCGAGGGCCACAGCGCCCAAATCAGGGGTCGCCAAAAAGTTGCGTCTAATTTTGCCCATCCGGAAAAAGCGTCTGTCACTTCCGTCATAAATCCCTCCGGTGGATGAAAGTTTGATTGTGAAATAAAATCCTGCAGCTCCCTCCATTAGCAGAAGTTTCGATGGGAAGTTTGCGCTGCGAAATGACTAGCAAGCTTCCAGCGGCGGAGACGGTCCCGTGGCGCAGAGGCTCTGCGTGACTTCCTCCCCGCACTGCGTGCGCCATTACCATGAGAATTCCTGGATGGCTCTTGATGGCTCTCAGCGCTGTCCCTAATCAGTGGCGGCTGTTGGGACCAGATGTACCGAGCTCCAGGGGACCCCCCCCCCCCCCCCGACAATCCATCACAGGGATGAGATTCATGGCTGACTCATCCCTCCCCCCCCCCATACAAGAAACCCAGGGAGGTCATTTACCAGCGGCAGCAATTACGCTTTCAATAATTCCACTTAACGACCTTAAAATAGTCGCCTCCCCCCCCCCCCCCACCGAACTCCTCTGCATAATTATTACTGCGGAGGAGTCGCCCCGCAGCTCTGCTTCTCTGAAGATCTGAAAGCGCATCTTTTAGTAACTTTAGGAGGGATTAAATCCCGTGACTGTACATTGTAACTAGAGATGAGCGAATCGAACCAGGCAAACCGGAATTCGAGTCGAATTTCAGGAAATATTCGATTCGCGGCGAAACCGAAATTTTGCCTACTTCGGGTGCGCGAATCGAAAATTTCCCGATCAGCCGGCAAAAGTGTCCCTGCAGTGAGCTCCGCTATTTCTGACAGTTCTCTGACAGAAGGAACACATGTTTAGCGGTTGAAACATTGTATCTATTAGTTTCCATTTAGGATACAGATGTTTCAACCGCTGTATGGAGGGAATGTCATGGAACTGTCAGAAATAGACTATTAATGACAGTTCTGGGACTGTCCTTCCATCAAAAAGTGTATCTGCAGCGCTCCTCTAAGTGTATCTGCAGAATGTCATTTATGGAAAAAAATAGATACAATGTTTCAACCGCTGTATGGAGTGAATGTCCCAGAACTGTCATAAATAGTCTATTTCTGACAGTTCTGGGACATTCACTCCATACAGCTGTTTCAACCGCTGTATGGAGGGAATGTCATAGAACTGTCAGAAATAGACTATTAATGACAGTTCTGGGACTGTCCTTCCATACAGCGGTTGAAACATTGTATCTATTTGTTTCCATAAATGGATCCATTTATGGAAACAAATACATACAATGTTTCAACCGCTGCATGGAAGGACAGTCCCAGAACTGTCATTAATAGTCTATTTCTGACAGTTCCATGACATTCCCTCCATACAGCGGTTGAAACAGCTGTATGGAGTGAATGTCCCAGAACTGTCAGAAATAGACAGAAACTGTCACAGAACTGTCCTTCTTCTCATCCTTCTCCTTCTTCTCATCCTTCTTCTCATCCTTCTTCTCATCCTTCTTCTCCTTCTTCTCATCCTTCTCCTTCTTCTCATCCTTCTCCTTCTTCTTCTTCTTCTCATCCTTCTCCTTCTTCTCATCCTTCTCCTTCTCCTTCTTCTCATCCTTCTCCTTCTCCTTCTTCTCATCCTTCTCCTTCTCCTTCTTCTCATCCTTCTTCTCTCTCCTTTCTTCTCATCCTTCTCATCTTTCTCCTTCTTCTCATCCTCTCTCCTTCTCCTTCTTCTCATCCTTCTCCTTCTCCTTCTTCTCATCCTTCTCCTTCTCCTTCTTCTCATCCTTATCCTTCTCCTTCTTCTCCTTCTCCTTCTTCTCATCCTTCTCCTTCTTCTCATCCTTCTCCTTCTTCTCATCCTTCTCCTTCTTCTCATCCTTCTCCTTTCCTTCTCATCCTTCTCCTTCTTCTCATCCTTCTCCTTCTTCTCATCCTTCTCCTTCTTCTCATCCTTCTCCTTCTTCTCATCCTTCTCCTTCTCCTTCTTCTCATCTTCTCTCTTCTCATCCTTCTCCTTCTTCTCATCCTTCTCCTTCTCCTCATCCTTCTCCTTCTCTCTCTTCTTCTCTCTCCTTCTCCTTCTCATCCTTCTCCTTCTCCTTCTTCTCATCCTCTCTCCTTCTCCTTCTCTTCTCATCCTTCTCCTTCTCTCATCTTCTCATCCTTCTCCTTCTCCTTCTTCTCATCCTTCTCCTCTCTTCTCATCCTTCTCCTTCTCCTTCTTCTCATCCTTCTCCTTCCTCTCTCATCCTTCTCCTTTCTTCTCATCCTTCTCCTTCTTCTCATCCTTCTCCTTCTCCTTCTTCTCATCCTTCTCCTTCTCCTTCTTCTCATCCTTCTCCTTCTCCTTCTTCTCATCCTTCTCCTTCTCCTTCTTCTCATCTTCTTCTCCTTCTCCTTCTTCATCCTTCTCCTTCTTCTCATCCTTCTCCTTCTCCTTCTTCTCATCTTCTTCTCCTTCTTCTCATCCTTCTCCTTCTCCTTCTCTTTCCTCATCTCCAAGGGCATTTAAATTAAAGGTACAGTGTTCTGCACTAATTTAAAGGCTCTCTGAAGCCTAGAAACCCTTTTTATAAGTCATCTTCGTAGCGAAGAAATTCGCATCGAATCGAATTTCACACTGGAATTCGCCGAATCAGCCGAATCGAATTTTTGAGAAATTCGCTCATCTTTCCTCAGTCTCCCATCTCCCAGCGATCAGACTGTACATTGTAACTTTGTAGAAGGAGGAGGAAGCATTTCCTCAGTCTCCTCCCCCAGTGATCAGACTGTACATTGTAAACTTTGTAGAAGGAGAAGGAAGCATTTCCTCAGTCTCCTCCCCCAGCGATCAGACTGTACATTGTAACTTTGTAGAAGGGGGGAGGAGGCATTTCCTCCGTCTCCCCTCCCCTCCCCCAGTGATCAGACTGTACATTGTAACTTTGTAGAAGGAGAAGGAAGCATTTCCTCTGTCTCCCCTCCCCCAGTGATCAGACTGTACATTGTAACTTTGTAGGAGGAGGAAGCATTTCCTCAGCCTCCCTCCCCCAGTGATCAGACTGTACATTGTAACTTTTTGTAGAAGGAGGAGGAAGCATTTCCTCAGTCTCCCATCTCCCAGCGATCAGACTGTACATTGTAACTTTGTAGAAGGAGAAGGAAGCATTTCCTCAGTCTCCTCCCCCAGCGATCATACTGTACATTGTAACTTTGTAGAAGGGGGGAGGAGGCATTTCCTCCGTCTCCCCTCCCCCAGTGATCAGACTGTACATTGTAACTTTGTAGAAGGGGGGAGGAGGCATTTCCTCCGTCTCCCCTCCCCCAGTGATCAGACTGTACATTGTAACTTTGTAGAAGGAGAAGGAAGCATTTCCTCAGTCTCCTCCCCCCAGCAATCAGACTGTACATTGTAACTTTGAAGCGAGTCATAAGGAAGCAGTTGCAGCAGGGGCTGATCTGTGTCAGACATTTGAACACACAGCCAAAAAGCAGCCCATGCACATGATTTGTGTCACCTCTGAGGCCTTGTTCACACAGAAATGCCTGCGATACTGAATTACACATTACTACATGTCTTGGTTGGTAAATGTCATGAAGATTGTACGGTTAGATTCTACTGTGCATGGGGAGTCTTCATTTGGAAAGATTAATTTCCTACATCCTGTGGTGTCCTGAGGACAGGAAGTGAATCTCCCCCATGAGGCTCAGATAACCAAATCATAAAAAAAGCCCTAAAGGGGTGAGAGGATAATGAGGTCTGATGAACCCCAAACTGAAAGAAGAATACTCAACGCAGCATCACCCTCTTCTCTCCAAAATGGTTCGGCTTGAAGCTGCCCTTTTCATACCCAGCTGCCAAAATCTATTCAAAATCTATAAATCCTGCCATGATGGAATTACAGTCATAACAAGGATCTACCCAAATGTAGAAGAAACTAATGGTCAGTTAGATGCGCAATTTTGTATTGGAGTCAAAGGGACGCAATTTTGCATTGGAGTCAATAAGGCGATTTTGTCTACAGGGGGCATTTTTTTTATTGGACTCAAAGGGATGCGATTTTGCATTGAAGTCAATAGGGTGATTTTGCATTGAAGTTAATAAAGGGAGTTTTTACATTGGAGTCAAAGAGACTGACCATTCGAACACTCGGGCACTGCCCGAGGGCCCAGGGTCAGTAAGGGGCCCCATGAGATGCCCCTGGTACCTTTCATTGGCTTTTTCATAGGTTTTTTTGGGTGTGGGCGAGAACACAGGGGCCCCATGATCCCCTATTGCCCGGGGGCCCCATGAGTTCTCAGTTCGCCCCTGTTACAAACCCTAACTGAGGGTCTCTGAATGATGACACCTTTGTTTTAATCATTTTATAAAATATAAAGCCTCTTTAAAAATAGTATTTGGCTTTAATATCCCTTTAATCCAATTCCTGTAGAGCAGTTCAGTGTGAGCGGGAGATCGCCGTCCGGCGTTTTGGCCAGTCTAAGGTGCAGACATTGGATCCCGTTTTGCGCTCGCTCGCACACGCTGCATGTGGAAATACATGTCCTCGGCAGGTGGAATTCCATGTCTGGCTGGAAAATGTGATCTGATGTTTCCATCTCTACCATCTGCGGTCTCGAATAGCGAGTGTTACTCTGCGTCTTCGCCCCTCGGCTCCGTCTGTCTCAACTTGTAATGCTCCTCCGGTAATTTCCGAAGGCGTTCAGCCGCCTGGACAAAAAAAAAAAAAGAAGAAAAAGGAAAATATGAAATACCTGGTAAGTTATATTTGTACACAGAGAGCATTACTGACAGACAGTAGGGTTGGACACGGGCGGACTGACCATTTGGAAACTCAGGCACTGCCCGAGGGCCCGGGGTTAGTAGGGG